AAAAAGAATAACATAATTAAATAAAAAAAATAATTGAAAATTAATATTTTTAAATATAAAAAATTAAAAAATAATATTTTAAATAAAAAATAAAAAATTAATATTTTATTTAAAAACTAATATAATTATCATTTTTAAATAAAAAATAAAATTAATATTTTTATTTTCACATTTTCTTATTATATGCATGGACGATGAAAACTAAAAAAACTCAAAAAAATCCTTTCTCATTTTCAACGTGTTACCCCAACTTGCGATGGAGCTGTATCCACGTAGTATGGGGGTCAATACAACAGTAAGAGCTAATATTCCTTTTGAGATTCGGAGGTAGAGAGAAGAGCACGACATTTAATTGGCAATATATAAGAAGATTGGTTCCTGTCACCCTTCTCCATTCTCTGCTCTAGATTAAAGTTGAGTTTTCTGAAATGAAGAACGAGGCAGATAACAAGAAGAGCCCTTCATCTAATAAATTATTTCCAATGGCCTGTGGAGAAGGGCCATATAACTATGCCAAAAATTCCAACTACCAGGTAAAACTATATATAGAATTTCTTCCTCAAAATACTGCAAATCTATAAACTTAAACATGCTAACTTTTTCTTCTGGCAGAAAACGGGTTGGGATTTAGTAAAGAGATTAACTTCTGAGAAGATCTCCAAGAAGCTTGACGTAGAGCATCTCATTTCACCTGGAAATTTGTTCAGAATTGCAGATATGGGATGTTCCTTTGGACCTAATACTTTTTTTGCAGTGCAAGACATTATAGAAGCTGTAAAATCAAAACAGAACAAATCCAAACTTATGGAATTTCAAGTTTTCTTTAATGATCACAGCGCAAATGACTTCAACACTCTCTTTAGGACACTTCCATCCGAAAGAAGTTACTTTGCAGCCGGTGTTCCAGGTAGCTTTTATGGTTCCTTGTTCCCCAAGGCCAGCCTGCATTTTGTTCTTTCCTCCTATACAATACACTGGATTTCGAAGATCCCAAGGGAAGTCCAAGACCAAAGCTCCCCTGTTTGGAACAAAGGGAGGATCTTCTATGGAAGCTCCAAAAAAGTTGAAGAGGCTTATGCTGCCCAATTTGCGAATGATTTTGAATCATTCTTGAGAGCTAGAGCGGAGGAGGTCGTGCCTGGAGGATTCATGACCCTCCTAATCCCCGGCACACAAAATGGAGCAAACCTTCTTAAGTGCACTTCAATCGCAATTTCAGAGCTTCTTGGCTCTAGCCTCATGGACATGGCAAAAGAGGTACTCCCTATAATTGTTCGTTTAAGTTATTAGCAAAAGTACTCCATTTGATGGGGTTAATGGATTGAAACTAGGAAAAAAATTAGTAAGAAACCGAAAAACTCGTAGAACAACAGTTAAAAAGTAATTATAATCCATTTGGTTCACAATAAATGACTTCTTGAATATTATATGTGACTCATGAATATGTGTATGTATACATTGAAAATTGAAGGGATTGGTAGATGAAGCCAAAGTGGACTCCTTCAACATACCAATTTACTACCCCTCATCGGAAAAGGTCATAGCCATAGTAGAGAAACAAGGTTGGTTTAAGATTGAGCAGATTCAAGAAATAGCTCGCCCAATGATTCAGCAGTTAAGCAAGCAAGACATTGAGAAATATGCATTGTTTGTAAGAGGTTGGGCTGAAGTGGTGGTCCGAGATCATTTTGGGGTTGAGATTGTTGATAAGATATTCAACAATTTCACAGAGAAGCTAATGAAGTCAGGGCTCCTCTCAGATCCTAGCATTGCACCCGCGGTGGACTTGTTTGTTCTCCTCATGCGTACTAATAACTGAATGAATGTTAAACATTCTTCTATAACTTAAAGCATCATGTTCACCATGCCCTATATAAAACAATAAAATGACATGAGGGAAAGGAACTTTGATAAATTAAAAAGGCTAAATTGTGACTTAAGCCTTTTAGTTGATA